ATATTTATCATTTCGTACCTAAAAAATGATGTTATGATATGTAAAAAGTATAAAATAAAGTTAGTAAATTTCTAATATAAGCAACGTCAATATTTACTAAGTAAAATGGTAAATTTTAAACGCCACGCTAAAAATCAAACTGTAATTATTGACTTGCTTGAACTGGTAAGATGTATATTTTAAAAGTATAATTTTTACTGTTTGAAACTGTAATTTTTAAAGATGAAAGAGTCGATATTTACTATAGTGACAACTACTAATCACTTATTTTGGATATTAAATTATAAATTGTGGCTTTTATACTTTCTACATTAAGTTCTGTAATATTTACATTTTTGCCACCCTGATGTCCTTTTACTGTTTGAAACTATAAAAACTAACCGGAATCCGAGTAAATATTACAGTTTACTTTTTTCCGTGCACGGCAGTCAGGGTGTGGAACCAGTTACCGGAGGAGGTTGTGACGATTACTGATTACAGTGATTACAATGAATTTCGATCAAAGTGTTACAAGTTTTTTGTCGATAAAGATGTTATATAATCGTCATTACATAACTGTTCAAATTACTAATTATTTATATTTAAATTTATATTTTTTCATCTCTTTTGTTTTATAATCTAGAGTCATTAAATGTTAAATTAATTACTTTGTTGGACTTTGCTTTGAGACAACGTTATTTATTTTTACTTTATTATTATCATTTCCATTACTGTTAATAACTTTTATTATTACTATGTATTAATTAATATGTAAGGCCCTTAGGGAGCTAAGGCTTCAGGGTCTAAAATTTTGACTCTTTATTTAGACCTAAAATTTATTAATTATGAAAATAAAGTGAAAATTGCATTTGCCTTAACCGAGATTCGAACCCGAGCCGCGCACTTACTAGACCGATAACTAACCCCTACGCCGTACGACCGATAAGTTGATTTACATCTCATCATTCATATAAGCTAACTCTATATGCTGACAATTGTCTTTAAAGTGTGACGGTTTATTATTTTCACAATTTATGTTATTTAATATTATATTTTGATGAAAATAAGTGATTTTTCACAAATGTTTATTAATTTAAAAAAATACAAAAGTCAAGTCTTTATATTACTTTAGTATTTATACATCGTTCTGTATACTTTTAATATTTTGTTATAAATTTTAATGTTTAAAATTATCAATACCGAAAACTCCATTGTAAATTATTATATTTTAATTTTTTTGAGACCATATCAATCTTAATGATATGTAATTGTTTTTGTTAAATAATAAATTTTTAATTTAAGCATTTGCTAACAAATATTCATTAAACAATAAATATCTACATTAGATTTAGATTTTGTTTATTTAATGCCAAGGCACAGGCCAAATGGCAATTTCAATTACATAGTAAATATAGTTTTTACAAGAGAGCAATTTCTGTGAGTACATAATATAATATAATATTGCACAATAATTAATTTAATTTATTTATATGTAAACAAGGTAAAAAAGAAAATCATATTAAACTTGAAACTTAATATATAAAAATAATAATTTTAAAATATAGAATTTTAATGTCATCAGATTCGATGATAACTCAGCATAATAATTTTGCGAATTGCAATTACTTCATCCTTATTTTAATCTTTAATTTTCAATGAATTAATTTAAATTTGTTATTTATTAGAATTTGTTTCAATTATCAAGATTTAATAAGTAATTAAATACTTCTTTTTTGAAGACTTGTAAGCTACTCGAATTTACAATTTCGCGTGGGAGTTCTTCCCAAAGCTTTATTACAGTTACCAAAAAAGATTTCTCTAAGTAGCTTGTAGTAAAAAGAGGTAGTTTGAAGGAGGTATGCTCATGAAGCCTTGTTAATTAAATATTGGTTAACTCTTGAATCAAGGCTGGCAAACCAAGACTCGTTACAGAGACATTGGCTGGGTCTTGGTCCAAGAGTAGTAAACCAAGACTTGTCACTTGAATATTGGCTGGGTCTTGGTTCAAGACTGGCAAACCAAAACTTGTTACACAGACATTGGCTAGATCTTGGTACAAGCGTAGTTTAACAAGACTTGTCAATTGAATATTGGCTGGGTCTTGGTTCAAGACTGGCAAACCAAGACTTGTCAGCTGAGTAGTGGTCCAGTCGTGGGCCAGTATTGTTCGGCCGAGTCTGGGCAACCCAGTATTGTGCCAAGACAGGCCCCGTTGTATATAATTTTTTTCCTACAAGGGAACTTCCCGATTTTTGAAAATCTTTGATTTTTTTAGCGGGAAGTTAAAAATGTCATGATATTATGATTTAAGGTAGTACTACCGGTTTTATAATTGACGTTCAGAATTTGATGAAACTTGACATATAGGTACATAATAATATCATAATTAACCACTTAAATTTTTGTAGCCCTACCGAGAACTGGATTTTGGGCTTCGGGAAAAAAAGCCTCACCCCCGAGAACTGAAAAAAAGATATTAATATTTACATATTTTTGCCTTTACCACTGATCCTTATGGAAAATCACAGACTTTATTTTATTTCACAAAACTGGACGTTCAGATTCTCATAAAAATTGAGACAACGAGAGAAAATAACATCTAGAACATATTTAATAAGTATGGTTTCAGAGAATATGAGGATATTTGTTAATAAAAAACATTCAAAATTAATCTCTGTCTCTCTTTCTCCAACGCGATTTAGTATAGGGAAATCTACTACGTTAATCAAATAAGATTAGATCTTAGGATTTGACTCTTGTGGTAACGGTACTACCTTAAACATTTTTTATGAATTTTTGAAAAATTAGTAAGTTTTGACAAAGTTTATCGGTGATGCGATAATTTTTCAATATTTTTACATTTTTTTCATATTTTATATCAATGATAAAATAATTTCTTTTTGGTGGATCAATTTTTCGAATTTTCACAATTTCGGGTTTGATTTCGATAATTCTACCAAATTGTTCAATATCTAAATAATTACTGCAGTTTTTCTTAAGAGCTGACCCCAGCTATTGGGGGTTCGTGAATTTCTTCTAAAAAGAGAAATTTTAGAAAAAAGTCTATGCTACTCGATAGATTATTTAATTATTTATTTTCTATCAAAGCGTTTTTTAAGAAATTTCCATTTGTTTATGAAAAATTCAAAAATCTGCAATAGCTTTGTTGATGCGAATGCGACAAAGATAGTACGGTTTCTCTCGATAAGTGCAAGGAGATGAAAAGATGGAACCTGTATTTAAGATTGCTACAAAAAAAAACTGAATTAATATTAATTATATTAATTATACAAAAGCTATTAAATATTTAAATATAAATTTAATTCATAGTTACAACACAGTTTCTAAAATATTATTAATAATTAAGGGGTCATTCTATCTTGGATGAATGAAAAATAACGCTATTTTTTATTGAGAATACTGTTATGCTTATTCATATATAAAACTTGTCAGGCTTAACAAAAATGATCATAAACTACAAAAAAAAAAAAGAAAAAATATTCTTGATTTTAATTCCTTTTTACTGTAAAAATACCAGGTAAACAGGAACCCATTAAAAAATAGGTAGATATGCGCTGTTGGAAAAATTTCAGAAACTTCTAAACCGATTCTTGTGAAATTTCAATTGCATATTCTGTACACTTATCGCTATATCCCGTTGCAGAATTATAAATTTTTCTGCGAAATAATAAAATGGAAAATAAGTTTTTTTTTGCGTGATTTTTCGCAAAAAATATCAATTTTGCACTAATTCTGCCAGGATATAACGATAAGTGTACAGAATATGCAATTGAAATTTTATAAGAATCTATTTAGAAGTTTCTGAAATTTTTTCAACAGCGCAGACCAACCTATTTTTTAAGGACTCCTGTTTACCTGACATTTTTACACTGAAAAAGAGGTAAAAATCAATAAAAATTTTTTTTATAGTTTATGAATGTTTTTGTTGAGCCTAACAAGTTTCATATGTATAAACATAACAGTATTCTTAAAAAAATTTATAAAAATAGCGTTATTTTTCATACACCCAAATTAGATGAACCCCTTAAATTGTATTCGAAATTATTTATAGGTAAAATTGAATAAGAGATAGTTGAAATTCTAATAAAATTAGTACATTATAGTTTGCGTGATACAACTACTTAAATAGCGAATACATAAAAATGTGCAAGCTTACATTTGACTTTCTGCTATTTTAACTATTTTATGTTTGTTATAAATATTTTGCAGTTATCAAATAAATCTCAAAAAGAGGCTTTCATTTCATGCTTCTCTACAGCCGAAACTGAATTAACATCTCCTATTGGTGATATTGTGACATCTTTACAAAGTATTACCAATGACCATCATATTCAACAATAATTAATTGTAAATAAAATATTTGTGTATAGTCGTCACAAGAACATTTAAAGTAACTTATTATTTAACTTGTAAATATTATCAGTAATAATAATAATAATTATTTTTTGAATGTTTGACTATTTAATTTTATTGAACCATGTGACCGATTCTGTTTTATTTTTTTTATTGAATTTTTGTTTATACCAACATAAACGTAATGTAGCAAAATACAAAATTTCTATGAAGGATATGACGGATGCCCCCAAGAAGAGTCCTGCTGCCCCCCCGACAGAAGCTGAATAATCATAATTAACATATTTTAATATTGTTTCTTAGTCACTTTCAAAGGTAAACCGTAGTAAATGTATTTTAAGAAATTTTGTTTTTCTCATCACTTTTTGGAAAATATTTCAAATCGAGAAATTTAAAGCTTTAGCAATAGTTAGTCGTACGTTCTTATTCAAACACTTTATTTTATTTTATTCCAAAATTAATTCGAAACGTAATTAGAAAAATAAAATTTTTAAAAATAGATTTATCACAGCCTAAAATTTTGGTTATTTAAAGTGGGGTGAACCCCATTTTGGGCCAAAACTAGGTGAAAAATTGATATAGTTTAATTTCTTTTGATTCTGCTTGTTTTTACGGTGCATTTATGACACAAAATGTCGTGAAAGAAAAAAATAAAGATTTCGACAGCTTTTTTGCCTTTAAAAGTTAGAAAAAAATAGACTTTTATGCTTTTGGATAAAATTTCTATTTCATCTTTTTTTGGTGTTTATGATATATTTTTTTTTTTTTTTTGAAAAGTAGATAAAAAAAACGATCAATTAAAAAAAAAAAAATTGATGAATTTGATAAAAAAAAAAAAAAATTTAACATGGCCCAGCATGGGTTGATTCCACTTGTAAATAATTACCAAGATTTTTTATGAGTCATATTAATTCTACCTAGAAAATCGTTGAATCCAAATAATTGTTCACGTTTATACTTATCTGTAGGAAATACGATAGTAATTGTTACTACTGCATCCGCTGGAGATCCTTTTTTTCTGCAAAAAAAAAATCAGGTCATTATGATTAGCAAAAATTTTGTATTCATAGAATTACTTATTTATCATTTCTTCCTTTAGGTTACTTTCAGACTTTCAAACTTACAATTCGATTGTCGAAAATGATTCTTCAAGATAAAATGTTGTGTCACAATCTGCATAGCAATCACATTCTTCCAACGACAGAACTTTGTCGAGATTCTTACCAATGCATTGAAGTTGGTTGGAATCACATATTGGTATTCCGTCTGAAATATTACAATAAATTCATTAATTAATAAATAAAAAGAAAGCAATTGTTAAATGGTCGTAAGTCATAACACTTACTTGTAGGTCTAGCAAAATGTGGATAACAACCGCAAATTCTCAGTATATTATTATACCTACATTCAAGAGAACACATTGCTTTAGTATAAACTGGCCACATTTTGAGTTTACCTTCATCGGACAACATGCACTTCCGTTGTGTTAATGATAGTTCTGTAACTTGATTTGAACTGCTTATTTCACCAACAAAGAGTGTTAATTGGGACATAGCTGTGCGCATTGACTTGTAGAATTTGTTTTCCAGAGTTACAACTGAACCAGGATAGTAAATACTGACCTGTGAAAATAATTATTTCGGCGATATTTAGAACTCACAAAAAATTAGACCATTGAAATGCATAGTTGAATAATATTGGACTTACCATAACATCATGAGTTTTTATTTTGATAGTGTTTGGTATTTCTCGATTTTGATAGTCATAAAAATGAACTTCATCAAAAAGTGGTAAAATTGTCCAATTGTTGCTTTGCCAATATCTGAAAATTAATGATTATTTATCGAATTAAACTGAGTAAGAATAATAAAATTAAAATTGATATCAAAGATGACTCTGATTAAGAAAAAGAATTCAGCAATAGTTTCTCGATGCAAAATATATATATATTTATATAGTGTTTAAATTAAATTCGTTTATATCTTTTCAAGTTGTCTTGACTCATTTTAAATTTCTTTTTCTAAGCAAGAGACGGCTTAGTTAACAATTCACATAACTTACTAATTATATAAATGTTACACTTATAGATGTAACCATAAAAATTTTGATTTACACAAATTTTATAGGCTTATATAGGGAGGTTTTTAAAATACTCACTCCAGTGAAGAATATGGACTGACATAACTATTAAACGCTAGACAAAATCCTTGTTCAGTAACAACCCATGTAGCTTTGTTTAAATTTGAAGAGGTATAATCGACATCTGGCTTAAGATCATTTAAAATTGATAACCACTTCGTAGGTTCGACAGTAGTAAACTCGGGTGTTAGATCAAATGTGGAGTACGTTGCATTAGAAAGGAATTGAAAGAAGTATCTATTATCAGTGGTATCTGCTAAATTGTACCTGTAAAAAATAATTATGTTAAATATATAATAATATTACTTGACTATTATAATTATACTTTTTGAAAACTTCTGGAAATTTATTCTCATCTATGCGAACTATTGGACATGCTATCACAGCTGGCTGAGTGATTGTGAATCGTCGATATTCATGATCGAAAACAACGACTGTAGAGAAATCTTGAAAACGTTGCCAGAATGTCAATGATAAAAATATTAAACTGATGAACGATCCAATTATAAAGAATGCGGTTAAAAAACTAAAACATGAACAAGAAAATTTTGAAACATGGTAAAGTTTTTAAGAATCTTTGAATTTTACCGTTCGATTAAATGTCGCCGAGGTGCTGTCATGTGATTAAAGCCATGAATACTTGAAGAGCTAGCAAAATCGATATAATATTTTTGAAACAGAGTTTTTGCTTGAATTTTACTCATGCCTATATTTGTATTAGATGAATCGTCTTCGGAATAATCAATTTTCTTTAAATTATTAAAATCATTGATGTAAAAAATTTTTGATGAATTGACTTTTTCTTTCATTTTGAAAAATTTTTCTATTCAAATATTTTCTTCGTAAACCTTATTTACGGAACTAACGAACTCTATATAGAAACAGAAATGTTATAGCTGCAAACCTCGACCAGATAGTTTATAATTGTGACATGAATATTGTACAATTTTAAATATTTAAAACATTCAGTTTGATAATTTCAAGATAAGATGCATTCATGATATAAGAAATAAATTTTAATATAACATAATAGTCACATGTCACACGCAATTTGAATCTATAGGTTTATAAAAACATAATACCGCTCTTTAGATAGTTACTTTGTCAAGGTATAATCATCAGGTTGTCCATTTTTTACCAAGTTAGTTTATTTTCTTGCAGTGTACCGTAATTTTTAATTGATGATCCAAAAAAAAATATCAGACAGCAAAAATTAGTTTTTAGTAGATTTCACAAAAATCTAACTATTGTATTTATCCTCATGACGCAATTTTCGAAAAATTTTGTTATATTCCGACTTTATTCGACGAGCTGAGTCAGAAAATACATATGGCTCAAAAGTTTATATATGTATGTATATATTATATAAATATATATACGATATAACGCGGGGCTTGTCAGCACGACAGCGTCTACAATTCTTTAGGGATTTCAATGAAACTCAACATACAACTTGTTCTATAAACGATTACGAAGGTCGAGTTCAAATTTGAGCCAAATCGGTCAATTAGTTTAGAAATTACAGCTTTTTAAAATTTTGAAAATTCAAAAATTCCATATTTTTACCGTTTTTCATTCAAATAACTTTTAAACGCGTCGAGATATTTGAATTCTGTAAAATGCATCTAAAAGCTGAGAAAAAAAGCTTCAATTAAAATGTTTACATATATTTCCAGACCAAAAAATTTCTATTCTGGGTTCGTTTTTATGAAATTTTACTCTTGTAGTCGTTTTGTTTACTTTGATGGTTGTAACTTAATATTAAATAGAAAAATTTTCAATAAGTTGATATTAGAATTCTACTGACTGAATTCACACTTAGTTTAGTGGCACATTAATTCTACTGACTGAATTCACACTTGGTTTAGTGGCACCATAACTGCAAGGTGAGGAAAAAAAATACTATAATAAAATGTATAGATAGAAATACAAAAAAATCCACAGTCATATATTAGTTTTTTATAAATAATAATTTAACGACAGTGAATTGAACGCTCATATTAACTAAGAAATTCTGTCGTGTGTTACTTTAGATAATTAAAAAAAAATTATTCCGGTACGATCATTTTTTCGACCAATTTCCCTGCCACATACACCCATTCATACACGGACGTCCAAAAAAGATTATGTTTAATGTTATTATTTATTATGTTAAACAAAAAAATTGTTATTGAAATATATTTTATGTGCCTGAAAAATTATTTGACTTGACATAAGTGTACTCATTTTAACCTGTAAGTGCGATATAAATAACAAAAAATCAATTTCAGTTTCGAGAAAACTGCTTTTTTCGAAATGTCGAGAGTAGAGCACAACCTCAACACTTCGCTTATGAGGCGTGTCTACTATAGCTTTGTGTTTTTACGATCAAGTCGAAATGACTTAAACAAGATAATGAAAGATTATAAGATTTACCGTTTGAAAACTTTCACGTTTTAATCTTATCTTGTTATTATATTAAGGCTGATTGCAAAGTAATTTCCGAACAATCATCTTATTCCATCGATGAATCATGGACTTTTAAGAAAAAAAAATTAATCAATAATTTTGTAATTGAAGTAAAATATTCTGTGAAAAAATTTCTAAAACGATAATGACATCAATATTAATAGAAATTTAATTATTTTTAATTTACTGTTGAATTATTTTTCAAATTTACTACGCAACAAGTTTGTTAAAAATTGTAGTGTTAGTTAACTAACTAATGTAGAATAATTATTCTACATTAATAAAATATAAAAATTATGCTCAGAAAAGAATTTATTGAAATTAACAATTCAATGTATTAATTTTTTGACCAAAGAATATCAATTTTTGTTATCATTATTAGGTACGAAAAAAAAAAAACTAATAGCTTTATTTGAATTAAATAAAAATTATTTTAATCAATTCGTTCAATTCTTCGAACAAAAAAGTACATTCTCGAAAATTATCTCGTGTCAAAGACATAAATTTTTAATGCAAATTTTTTTATTTGTTTTTGTTTTTTAAGTGTACATACGGAAAATTTTATCATATTGGTTCCTAAATGTATATGGGGTATTCCATGCCAAATCGACCACTTTTGAACTCGACCCCTTTAGATTTAGCCGAAACTTTCATTCTTTTCTACCCTTTGAAAAACATTTTTGAGAATTTTTTCAAATTTTTTTATCCAACCCAAAAAAAGTTTTGAATTTCCCAAAACAGTGGGTTTTTTATTTTCAAATAGCCATAACTTTTTCAGACATTGACCTGTGGGTACCTTTTTTTTTTAATTTTTGTTTTCTGAATGAAAAATTACACAAAAAAAATTAAATATGATCAATTCTATAAAATAATCGGTTTTTTTTTTTTTTAACAAAATCGTTGTTTTTTCAAAGTTGGCCACTTTGTTTTTTTATTATTTTTTCTCAAATAAAACTTCAATCAATTTGACAACTACCTGACGAACCATCATCCTACCGTCCACTCTGCATGTTAGACACGGCGGGTAAGATATTAGAGCGGATAATTCACCAAAGAATAGAAGCAGTAGTTGATCCACTCCTGGCAGATAACCAATTTGGTTTCCGAAAAGGACGGTCAACCCTGGATGCAATAAACCTGGT